TGCTGTTTTCCAGCTGACCTCCCAAGATCCCTGCCCGGGGGAGGGGGGGAATCTTCCCTCACAACTGTTTCTCCCATAGGATATGGAATTTAAAAGCACATGAAGGCTTCACAGTATCGTTAGGGACATTTACATTTTGATTTGATGGGCTATGAATTCCCTCAGGAGAAATCTAAAAAGGGAAAAGGTATGTGAAATTCCATATTAATCACTAGGCAAATTTGACCGTGCTTTTCATACAATAAAATATGAACAATTCAGCTGAAATTTGAACACATGGCTCTTTGATTAGGTTGGGAATCTATGATAGAATCCAATGTAATCATCATCTTCTTATGGAGTGTCCCTCTCAAGGTAATCACAGAGAGAAAATAATCCTCCATACTGTCCTCATATAGAGACATTGCCCTTGGCAACCAGCTGAGGTCTTTGCATGCATAGAACAAGTCTTGAATCCCCCAATTACAAGCCCTATTATAACATAGAATGTGTGTGTGTGTGTGTGTGTGTGTGTGTGTGTGTGTGTGTGTGTGTGTGTGTGTGTGTGTGTGTGTGTGTGTGTGTGTGTGTGTGTGTGTGTGTGTGTGTGTGTGTGTGTGTGTGTGTGTGTGTGCAGCCTTCCTGGGAATTAATTAGCCCACATAATTGGCTAATACAGTCTTTGCTACCTTCAGGACTTGAAGTAACAGTTTACTGTAACAAAGTAGTTTGCTTTTCACTTTTTTTAGTGATTATTTTATTGATATTTATTTTCCAAGTGTGTATGTGCTTTTTTAATTAGTATTTAGGGTTATGGTTAGCTTAGCATTACCTCCGCCTAGTTTAAAAAGGGGTCCAAAGCATATAACTAATTGTAGGGCACCACCTAGCTAGCACGCTAAGTGACCTAAATCAAACACAGTTGCACACCGTTGTGTTCTGGCTAGCATGCTAAATGCTAACATGCCTACAGATCAAGCAGAGCAGAGCCTCATTCAGCTGGAAATGTTTGACAAGTTTTAGGACAAGTGGGAGAAGAGGCCGAGTGGACTGGTTATGGGAAAGAGGGGCCAACTGGACCGTTTATATTCAACCCAGTCTCACGGCATTTCGTGTTCACCAACACGATTTTTAATCTATTGATTCGTGTTCACCAACACGATTTGCCCCTTTTTTTTCGTGTTGCACAGCACGATTTTAAAAGCAATGTATTTCTACTGCCTGCAGCACGTCTTTTTCTCCGGTCGGGTCGTGGGAGACCGGAAGCTGTGTGGTTCATAAAAACATGTTCTTACTCAATATCAAGCCACAGTTATTGCTTTTATTTTAAATCATATAATTTTGGACTTTTGTTGCCGTCTGTGAGGAAAATAAATGGGGCTCAGAGCCTCAGGATACTGAAATCTGTATTTTTTAAATCTTTTTTTCCTTCTAATTTGTTATTCTTTTCAAAATAACACACAATTATCCTTGCTTTTATTTATTGGTTTAATTCCATAATCTCGGGCTTTTTTGGCGTCCGTCAGGAACTGAATTTCAAAATAAAAATAACCGGAAACAGACGTAGGCATTTCGAGCGATTACCCAAGATCCTCAGCTATGGTTTTTAGCTCGCTTATTGGATGTTTTAGCCGCAATGCATGCTGGGATTTGGTGTTTATATGATATGAAATCCGGAAAACATTTTAAAAGAATAAAAGAATACTTAATTCCGAGCGCTCTTGCTTTTCTCTTTGAAAGTCATCACATAACGGCATTGTAATGCACGGTTCGGCTGCATTGTATATTACAGATCTGCCGTAGTTCTTTATTTATAGAGCCCTGATGAGAAGACCTTTGGAAAAACTGAGAAAATGCCGCCGAAACTGAATACTTGACGTGGATCATAAATATATTCAACAATTAAACAACATCTTCAATTTATCTTCACACAATACGTCTCCTTGCAGTATCAACACTAATTCGGCTGACTTTTACATTTGATCTAATTCACAGATAGGTTATATTTACACCATAACGGTGCACAGCTGATATAAAAGGACTGTAGTTTTTAAAGATATTACTGATTTTCTTTGAATGTAAGAATGTAAATACTGAGTCTGAAATAGTATAGCAATATGCTGTAAAATTATGTGAAAGCATGCATAAAACTACACATCTTCAGATGTACGAAAACATAAGTGTCCTACATTTATAATACAACGTTATTATGGCTGGGTGTACCTTGTGTGCACCTCCTAGTGGTTAAAGCACGTTATTGAATTATTGTTATATTTGATTAAAAAAATATTAAGAGTACATACTTTCATAGGGGGAAAGTATAAATATAGAATGTACAAAATCAAGAAGATACTCCAAGTGATCTCTACAATAAAACAGTTTAGTGCAGAATGTACAAAGATATTAATAGGAGGAGGTGCAAAACAGAAAAACGAATGAACCTTTATTTAAACATTAAATAACAGATTAAGGTCTTCTTTTAAATAAGAAAACAACTTTGGGGGTATCTATCTACAGATAAATATTAAGCCTGACAAAGTACTTAACGTCTAATATATTGCTTTCCTGCAATGTTAACTATGTTGAAGCACTTATTTTTAACTGATATTATACATATGAATTATACTCTTATGTATGTAGATAGAATAAGACATTTGCAGAATATGACAGTTTGATGGTGGAGGTACACACATATTGATAGATGTCTTGTTGAGGAACCTGTGACCCAAGTGTTTCATTCATTGCATAACTACACCGTAGTTGTGTATATGATATGTCAATAAACCTTTGAAAATCTTGAAAGGGATGTGCAAAATAGCCATAATATAAAGTCTTTAATTAACTATTAGTAGAGAATAACGAGTAATGAATATACTTTATTACTCGTTTCCATTCATGTCAATTGCAGATACATGTTTAGTCTTCTCAAGCACCAACTATCAAATATCTCTCCTGATTGTTGGCACTTGACAATCACCTTACCTGAATTTTACTCAGGTGTAACTATAGTCTGATTTAAGGGTTGTTTATATTTCACATAATTAATCAGAATCTGCAAAGTAACTCAAATAAATGCAGTGGAGTAAAAATACCAGGTTAACCTCTGAATTGTAGTGGAGTATAATTACAAAGTAACAATGAGCTGTCATGTGGGTATTAATGCTGCGCATTATGGACACAAGCGATTTTCACCCATTTATTAATTATATGTTTTACATTTGATAACACCAATGTGTTTAATACTGACAACTTCTAATTGTGGGAAAAACGAAAACGTTCAGTAGAGACGTCCCATAGAACATTTTTGCGAAACACAATAGCATGTGTAGTTCTGGGGGGCGTTCTTATTACAGTTTTGGATAGTCTGGCGTGGTTTCGTTCCATTTCACACAGCTGTTTGACGCTCTGCGTAACTTTACGGGACTGTAGTCCTAAACGATAGCTAGGGATTATGGGTAGTGTAGTGTCTTCGGCCATCTTAAACTCAGAAATGTTGACAATCGCAATGATGCTCGAAATGTCCCTTATAGGTCTACGTCTGTTTCCGGTTACTTTTATTTTGAAATTCAGTTCCTGACGGACGCCAAAAATTATGGCTGTGTAGAACTGGATTAGGAGATGTTTCCTCACTCTGTATTTCTTGAGCTGCCGCAGAAAGAATAGCCTTTGGTTGGCTTTTTTGTATATGTGGTTGGTCTTCCATTTGAGGTTATTGCTTATGTGAGTGCCAAGAAATTTGAGTGATTCTGTGGTGGAAATGAGTTTGCCAGAGATAGATAGAGGTGATTTGGGCTGTGGCTTTCGCCTGAAGTCGATGATTATTTATTGGGTTTTTGCTGTGTTAAGTAGGAGGTTGTTTTCTGAGCACCAGGTGACTGCTTGATGGATCTGAGTGAGGTATTGTGTTTCATTATTATTTGAGATGAGTCCTGTTATTGTTGTGTCATCTGCGTATTTATATATGTTGACTGTGGGGTGCTGAGATGTGAGTTGGTTTGTGTAGAGTGAGAATAACCAGGGGGATAGGACACAGCCTTGTGGAGCTCCTATACTGAGGTGCAGAGGGAGAGATGTGGAGTTATTTATTTTGACCCGTTGTTGTCTGTTCCAGAGGAAGCTGTGGAAAATGAGTACTCTGTGGAGCACTTGGGAACATTACCTTTATATAGAGGGGTGCCAAAACAAAATTGGTTTCTATGTATTTAAGTATATTTCACAGGCAGTGTAAAATCGTCTTAAGAAGATACTAAAGAAATGCCGATTTTACAAAACATTCTTGACCAGTTATTCCTGTTGCTTTTTTCAGACTCCAAAAATATCACATAGTCTTCACAAGATGAAATTTACATCCATAACTGATGAAGAGTATTTGTGAAGTTTAAAAGCTATGGAAAAATACTTTTTATTTCATACACAAACAAGGTTTTAAAACTGTTTATACATGTGTTTTGGTCTTGGATGCTTCATAATAAACTTATATTTACATAATATTTGTCTGCTTACAACCACATTAAAGTGTCGATCATGTCCTAAATTAACTGTATATAGTGCTTATAACTGCTAGAATAGGTTTAAAAGTGTGCTGAATTTATAATAACTTAATCTAGAAAGAGGGAAAAGAGGGATGCAAAAAGGTCCTAATATGTCTATGATATGTGACTAAAGCTTCATTTCTGAATAAAAAAAATGGAGGGCCTGTTCGCACCCAGTTGAAAATAGAAAGCTGCCACAAATCCCCTTTCCCTCCTCCCTACATCACATCATGCCTTAAAGCGCAGAATTATGCAATTAAGCACCAAAGCACGCTCAAAAAATCATGTCCAATTGTAGTGAAGCTACAATTGATATTTCAGAAATACCTATAGATTCGAAACAAAATCAAATGTATGTCCGGGTGTAAATAGCACTGTCTCCTATGGATACCTGAGTGCATGTGTCTCTGCCATGCTACACCCCAGTGCAAATAGCATTGTTGACTATAGTTACCCTGTTGCAAATAGCATTGTCAATAAAAAATAAATCTGTGATTCGTCAGGATTTCTTATATTAGCATTAGAAAAGTGGCAGAATCAGGGTCGTTAAGATATGTAGACTTGATCAAATGACACTAATCAGTGCATACATAGTAGAAAAGACTATTGTTGATTTCTCCGATGATAGCATGCAGAGTGTGATGCATTTCAAATGAATGTCTGATTTATCTACAAGGTCTATGATCTTTACACAGTGTCTGTGCCATGCGGAGGGTCTTGTCATGACGGATGACGTTGATATAGACTGATATCATTCAAAATAATGCAAACATTTAGAAATGACAATAACAGCCATAACTCAGTGTGCCATTCGTGACAGCAAAGTACATTTAGGACAAATGAGTGTAGTCACAGCCAGCTGTTTCATGGTGAAGGTGATGAATTATTAATTGTTTTCATTATCACATTTTTCATAGCTTTTGTTTAATGATTCACTGATGCAACATCAGTAAGACAAAGCTGTCATATTTATTATACAAAAAAGTTTAATCATCGATAATTGTAATATTAGAAGTGTATACTAATCGAACTTTGACGCAGAGATATCACTGCATAGTAAGTAACGTGGGGAAATCCATCCCTCTGATGACGCACGCTCTCCTGTCTGAGTCACTGCTCAGTGGACAAAAGGTTCACCACAGTAGCATCAACACAGTAATCTGTAGATTGCATAAATGGCTTTGGGGAGATTAGATCAAGATACAATGAGAACCAGCTGTTCTAATGTCACTCAAAAAAAGCTACTCAAGCTGGACATTTGTGGGAATTAAATGCTAATAAAGAAAGGTTGTTGTTTCCTGCAAACTAAATGTAATTTAAATGAATGTTCTGAGATTATTATTGAGCACCTCTTCTACAACATAATGCTTGTTAGATTGTGAATTTTTCAAGATCAGATTGATGTTGGTCAACAACTCAATTCCATAGGTATTAGGTATACATCATTTTCATTTAAGGTTAGGAAATAACTGCCAGTACGGACCAGTATGGAAAAGTACAGATGGAAAGGAGAAAAAGAAAAGAAGACAGCTTTTAACCTTCCTGTTGTCTTTGGGTTACATTTCAACCATTTTGAAGTGTTTTTAATGAGATAATGATCATCAAATTGTCTTTGTTGTATTTAAAAGAATAGCATCTGGTGACATTATGTACTGCCGTTAAATATGTCAGGTGGTTTCAAAAGAGTATCCTCAGTAAACTTTGAACTATGACATGCAGTCCGTGATTATCCTTTAAGAAATGCTCTTCTGATCTCGTCAAAAATAACTGTGTTTACCCTTTTAACTCAAAACTAAGGTTTAATTTTGTGTAAATTATGTCTATTTTCCATACAATTAAATACATTTTATTAACAGTCAAACCAGGACAAAAGTTGCAAAGTTGACGGGAAGACAACACAAATGTTAAATCAGAATTCTTTAAATTTTTCACATGCACTGTAAAAACAGTTCCGATGGTGAAGTCAACAAAACTCAATTTTTTAATGTAATTTATTTGCCCTAAATTATAATTGTTTCAATGTGCGTTTAAATAAGTAACACTTAAGAAACAATGAGACCATGTTTTAAGAACTCATTAATTTGTAAATTAATATCACATTTTTTTAACTTTCTTATAAATACGTTTTGGAAAACTTCATAAAAATGCTTTTGTCAACGCCACGGTCATGCCACGCCCTCAAACGAGAATACCGCGGTGTGAGACTTCCGGTTCCTCTTTGCAGCGGTTCTTCAGTTGGACACGTGTTTGCGTTGGATCCTATTCAAAGCATCGTAAAACAAGTAAGCATACCTCCTGAGTTATTAATTATTGCTTTTTAACTAGCAAGTGTTATTTACTTTTCTTGTATTCACTGTTTTGAACGGAACATCAACATTTTAATGCATGCTAGTGTGACCGGACGTCACGTCTCCTCCCTCTGTGACGCTGCTTGGCACCATGCCAGCGCACCTGCTATTTAAGTGGAGGATTCTCCTTTGTGGCCGCGTGGATTGTTTGGCGTGGCAGCTCGCGCATCACACTCTCTACCAGACAGGTAAAACATCTTGCATTCTGTAATTTATTCATGGGCACGAGCGACACCCGGCTTGACACTACTCTGTTTTAGCGCAGCTGACGCCCGGTGCGTTTGAGGAGGATTGGCTCCTCCGGAGGTTCCCGGTCTTGCAGTGTTGCAACTATTGGTGAGTTGCCGTTATCTGCCGTATTCTCACCTTCAGCTTGGTTCCTCTGGTGTACTGACTGTTGTTCATGTCACAGTGGGATTTGGCCGTGGGATTGTTGGGTCTCTCTCTCCCTTCCCTGTGGGCTCTGTGGCTGCAACTGACCGCACAGGCTGGTATGTATGAATTTCCCCATAGATAACTTTTAATTCAATAAACTTAAGTAGGCTATTCACCAGTCATTTTAAACCTCTTTCCAGGGGTGCCATAAACATTCTCCCTTCCTGGTGGGCTCTGTGGCAGCGCCTAGCTGTAAAAGTTGGGACGCCGTAACCACTCTCCCCACCTCTGGTCATCATTCCCCCGCCCCTTCCTGCTGTTTTGGCTCTGCGAGCTCTCGCACCGAGCTGTGGCGTCATATAATTGACAGGCCCTGACTTCTCCGTGTTGGACTGTCACCAGGGCCGTTTTGAGGTCGCGGAATTGCAAGGACACTTATTGTTTAGTTGATTTCTTTTGATTAGCTGTTTTGTGCATCTCATGTTTTGAGTACATTCATAGTATTTTGTTATTGTGTGATTTTGTTTATTTTCTTTTGTTAACATTTGGTTTAATTAGTTTACTCAAGTCTTTGTTGTTTACGGTTATTTAGATTTGGTTTATTTTAGTTGTTTTCCTTTTGTTTATTCATCTCCAACCAAGTTTTATCATCGAACCTTTTAAACTTGTCGATGTTCGTTATTATGTGTGACGTTGCTCCGGTGTCGACCATCAGCCCTTTATGTGTAACTCCGGTTACTGGACTGTCACGTACTTTAAAAACAAATGAGTGGTCCTCAACGTCAGTTGCTTGTTTAGCATTTTCTCTCTCTTTGCGTCTGCAGTTTGCATCTATATGTGTGGAATTTTTGCAAAAACTGCACCACTGTCTCTGGTCTTTGCTGCTCGCACTTCGACACTCACGAGCCGGTGTCCTTTCTGACCGCAGTTGTAGCAGGTGATATTGGGGCCATCTCTCCACTTCACCCAGCCACTCGCTTTCATAATATTATCAGATTCCTCACTCAAGTTGGCATTGTATTTTTCTGTGCTTTCATAGCTCCTCAACTTTGTTTTGAACTCACCAAAAGTTAGCTTCTCATCCCCTTGTGTAATGTGGATGGCAAACGGCCTAAAACAGATTGGCAGTCCCTTTAAAATCATGGCTATCAGCAGCCCATCGCTAAGAGTCTCTTCAGCATTTCTCAGTGCTGTAATTGCCGTTTCGGCACGAATAATATAGTCAGTGACGCTCTCATTAGCGGCTTTCTGCAGCGACGTTAGTTCAGTGTAGAGGCTGATCACCCGTGGTTTCCCTTTCCCAGCGTAGTGGTCCCTCAATATTTGTAACGCTTTTCTTCCGTTGTCCGCTGCTTCTCTCATGATCAGTGAAAGGCTTTTATCGTCCAGTACCTGGATCAATTCCGCATAGGCTTCTTCGTTTTTCTGATCATCAGCCTCATCCTCTTCACCTGGCTCCTCTAGGATGGCAGCCTTCAATCCTAGCAGTCGCAGATGACCCAAAAACTTTGTCTCCCATAACTCGTAGTTCTTCTCATCTCCGTCGAAACACAAACGGTTCCACCGGCTTCCATGGTCCCTCCTGGGCCCATAACCTGTTAGCGATGCCATGATCTTAGGGCAGGAATACCGTGAACATAGTTAACGTGACAGAGGGATAAATACACACATACACCATCAGCTGTGCTTCAAACGGAAGTGACACGTTTTATTGCGCATGTCCCTTTTATCACGGGAATACAGGAAGTGATTAGTATAAGAGTATTAAATAAACAGAATTCATATATTACATTTCATAATTCAACAAATCTTACTGATTTTTAACTGTTTCTCTTGTGCCGGACAGGTGCTGTGGGCTCGAGGCGGCAAACCCAATCCCTGGTGGTGGTGGTGTTCTTCACGAGTCCGTTTTGTTTGGTGTGCAGTGTCACGGGTGATTTTGATTTGACCCCTTCCTCCCCGTTTTGTTAATTGCCGCCGTGGTAAGCCCCAGCACTGTCCTTCTCCCTCCTCCCTGGAGAACTTTTATAACATTATATTGTGTCAGTGCATGACATTAAGGATTTTGGGAGATGGCCCTGTGGGCCATCTAAGCTAATTTACAGATGGCCCTGAGCCCAATAGAGATTGCCCTGAAAAATACGCGCGGACGAAATGACGCACGAAGGGTTTGGGGGGCACCCTAGAACATTTAGATTTTTGCAGGTCTTACTGTAGATGCTGTCTGGTTCTCTAGACTGAATTATAAGATGAACCACCACAATATTATATTGTACAATTTCAATTTTATTCTTCATTTCACTTGTTTGTTTGTGTTTGCTCGCTTGCATGCCCTGCATAGCTATAAGAAATACTTAAGTTGTTGGTCAAGACACTTTCCATCTGATGAAGGCAAATGCCTTCCCAGATGTAAAAAAGTAGAAAACATTACATTCAGTTATAACTGCCAAAACAAGCATTATTTACACTATTATGGCCCCTGTTAAAAATGTTTGTAATGTTATCTACTGTAAGTTGGTCGAATGCCTCCTCATCCGGAAGCTGACCGAGCAGACCCGAGCAGCAATCGAGAGGAGCCGAGCGCATCCGCGAAGCACACAACATGGCGACATCAGATTTCCCGTTAGCCGGCAAATCTAAATCTCTTCGGTCAAAATAATTTCCCTTTAGCGCAATACCGCTTCAGTTGCGCCACTTATGTGACAGACAAGAAGAGTATGTGACAGACAAGAATAGTCAATTCTAATGTCTAAAGAAAGAGATGTGCTGTATGGGTTGATTGTGCGTTGATCTGTTGGTAATGCCTCGGGGTTCCGGTGGGCATGTAAACAAATGCATAATGCTGCGCTATACTTTGTGGCCTCACCCGGTTGCATAGCGACACTTATTGTTTAGGTGTCTTTTAATAAGCAGGTAGTCATATCATTAGCTAGAACTAGCTAGATCTGATCGATATGGACATAAACGCGAGTAAAGTCTAATCTGACGGGAGAGAGAGATCAGCTGCTGCTGACGAGTCGACACGCAGCTCTGCATAATCACCTGCAGCGGTGAGCGGACAAAACACACACTTCAGGTTAGAATATCACACGTAGCTATTTTAATTACCTCTCAAACTACCTAAACTAGTTATAGATATGTTTAGTTTTACTGTCGGGTCACTCATTACTGGATCCGCGAGCTGCATGATACTGGCATAATAGATTGCCCGATCGGGCAACCAGCAGGTGAGGCTTCATTGCCCGAGCTAAATACTAGATGGCCCCGGGCCATCGGGCAGTCCTTAATGTCGAGCCCTGTGTGTACTATTAGGAATATAATTATGTACCAATAAAATAACAATTGTTGTAATATCCTTTATACTGTCTCTGCCTGTGGTGTTCAAACGAACCTGATTGCCTTTTATTAAATTGTATAACTTTAGTTTTTAGTAATTTCCTGGGGGCGAAACTCCCCAGGTGGCGTTGTCAGCAAACCAAGCATTCTACATGAGCACCACACCGCCACATTCTGGCGTTGTCGGCAGGATGGGATGTCCTGATCGATGACTAGTTTAGGACTGGGTGACTTTGAGGGGTGCATTTCATCTCCTTTGGGACCCATGTGACCTTTTAGAATTGTTTCCCTTTTCGAGGGCCGGTTTGGTTTGCCTCAACATTAAAGGTCATGTGCCGAGAAGATGAGGGTAACAGGTCATCGTAGGGTGGATCCAAGTCCACCATTTTCAATAGCCACTTTTCCACTTTTTTAGTTGGACTTTCCTTGTTCGTATTAAGGTAGCAAAGTATCCTCTATGGAGTTCTGGAGCCTGCCGGAGTCTCCATCCTCAGCTGCGCCATGAAGAGGATCAAGGAGTTTCTCTCTGCGGAGCCTCGGACACCAACGTTGGCCCTCCGCCTAGCCTTCAGTTCTGCCAGTATCTTCAAGGTAGTTGTCTCCATTGTTCTCTGCTAACTGTTGCTTTGCTAACTGTTGCTTTGCTAACTGTTGCTTTGCTTGGTGGACACTGGTTCCATGGTGTCCACAGTCACTGAGAGTTTCTTTTTGGAGAAGTTTGCACCTTGGGGCTTTGATCGCCTTCGGTCTTGTCACTGGCTACAGCTGCGAGCAGCTAACGGCTTAGCCATTCCATACATTGGCTACTTGGAACTTGATGTAGAGCTGTGTGGTAAAGTGATGTCCCGTTGTGGGATCCTGATCGTTAAGGACCCCCCTGGTGCTGTGTCTCCTGTCCCTGGAATCCTGGGGATGAATGTGATTCGTCGCTGCTATCGAGAGCTCTTCGGGGCCTTTGGCTCTTCTCTTTTTGACACACCCATCGTGTCACAGGCACCTGTTGCTGTCATCGCAGCTCTACAGGAGGTCCACCAGTCTCCCGCTCAGGTTCCAGGGAAACTCACTGACATTGCGAGGGTCCGGGGAAAGCATGCAGTGCGCATACCTAGAGGGGTGATGAAGCTGGTTGCTAGTACCTGTCCTGAACAGCTTTCTGGTCAAAGTGCTCTGTTCGAGCCCCCAGAGTCGGGCTTACCAGCTGGGCTGCTCGCCTCACCATGCCTCGTACAGGTTGTCCGGGGTACAGCATACGTCCCTGTGGTCAATGTGGGGACGACCGAAGTTCTGCTTTACCCACGTACTGGTCTTGGTGTCTTGAGTGCTGCCCAGGTTGTCAGCCTTCCCGCAGGTGTGACTGAGGTGGGGTCATCCTTTGCAGCTGTTTCCTCTCAGACAGCTGCCCCCTCAGTGCACGATAGGTTAGATACATTGGACATGTCTTCATTGACTGAGCAGGAAAAGACAGGCGTAAAGTCTTTGTTGTTCAGGTACCAATCTGTCTTCTCAGCCCATGATGGAGACTTGGGCTGTACAACTCTCATTTCGCATGACATCCCCGTACTTGATGATGTGCCTGTCCGACAGAGGCACCGCCGCATCCCTCCATCGGAGTACGAAGCAGTGAAGGCCCACATTAACCAACTCTTGGAGTCCCAAGTCATTAGGGAGAGCTGCAGCCCCTATGCATCACCAATTGTTCTGGTGAGGAAAAGGGATGGGAGCTTGCGCTTGTGTGTTGACTACCGCCTCCTCAACAGCAAGACCAGGAAAGATGCCTTCCCCTTGCCTCGCATTGAGGAAACCTTGGATGCACTTTCTGGGGCCTGCTGGTTCTCCACCCTTGACCTAGCCAGTGGTTACAATCAGGTTCCTATGGCAGAGCAAGACCGGCCCAAGACCGCTTTCTGTACACCTTTTTGGCCTCTTTGAGTTCAACCGCATGCCCTTCGGGTTATGCAATGCCCCTAGCACCTTCCAGCGGCTGATGCAGAGGATGTTTGGCGACCAACAGGGCCAGTCGCTACTGCTCTATCTTGATGACATAATCGTCTTCTCATCCTCTGTTGAACAACATCTGCAAAGATTGGAAACAGTGCTTGGTCGGCTTGAGAAAGAGGGCCTAAAGGCCAACCTTCAGAAGTGTGTCTTCTTCAAACAGGAGGTTGGATACTTGGGCCATGTCATCTCCAGCCAGGGTGTCTCCACAGACCCTAGGAAGATTGAGGCAGTGGCAAATTGGAAATGCCCTCGTCATGTTTCAGAGCTGCGCTCCTTCTTAGGTTTTGCCAGCTATTACCGTCGCTTTGTAGAGGGTTTTGCAAAGTTGGCAGGACCTCTGCATCAGTTAGTGGCAGAGCTGGCAGGCACCAAGTCAAAGAGGAGATCAAATCAACTCTTGGATGCGGCATGGACACCTCAGTGTGAGGAAAGTTGAGTCCCTGAAATCCAAGTTGGTCTCAGCTCCATTGCTGGCTTATGCAGACTTTTCACGCCCCTTCATCTTGGAGATTGATGCCAGTCATAGTGGCCTTGGGGCTGTCCTTTCCCAGGAGAAGGACAGGGTTGTGAGACCGGTGGCTTATGCCAGCAGGGGTCTTCGGCCCACTGAGCGCAACATGTCAAACTATATTTCCATGAAGCTGGAATTCCTTGGGCTCAAGTGGGCCATGACCGAGAAGTTTCGAGAGTACCTACTGGGGCATAAGTGTACTGTTTACACCGACAACAACCCGTTGAGTTACATCCAGTCTGCCAAACTGGGCGCCACGGAGCAACGGTGGGCGGCCCAGCTTGCGTCTTTTGACTTTGTTGTCAAATACAGCTCTGGTCGCATCAATGGGAATGCTGACGCACTTTCACGGCAGTATGTGCCTGGTACTTTGCTCCCTGCTAACCTTCACCAAAACCCATCCTCAGGTCTTGTGGTGCCTGCAACTCAGTCTTCGGTCTCGGTTCTTCCAACCCACTCGGCAACCGATCTTCGTGCCTGGCAGGAAGATGACCCACTCCTCGAAGAGGTGTTGGTGTTTTGGCGACGTAAGGCTCAGCCTACCTCGGCGGAGAGGCAGCAGCTTCGCCGTCCAGTCATGGCACTTTTACGTCAATGGGACCGCCTTGTGGAGAACGACGGAGTCCTTTTCCGACGAGTGTTCCGCCCTGATGGAGGTGAAGAATATCTTCAGCTCATTTTGCCTGCTGTTCTCAAGCAGGAAACATTGAAGCAGTTACACCAAGAGCATGGCCACCAAGGAATCGAAAGGACTACGGAGTTAGTCAGACAACGATGCTATTGGCCGGGAATGTCCTCGGATATCAAGAGCTGGGTCCAGGAGTGTGAACGTTGCCAAGTGGCAAAAGACTCGGGGCATGTGCCCCATAGCTTTATGGGCCACTTGCTTGCCTCACGACCCAATGAAATCTTGGCAATAGATTTCACCTTGTTGGAACCCTCCCGGAACGGGCTGGAGAACGTCCTTGTCATGACTGACGTGTTCAGCAAATTCACAGTAGCTGTCCCCACTCGGGACCAACGGGCCTCCACTGTGGCCCAAGTCCTGACCTATGAATGGTTTTATAAGTTTGGGGTCCCAAGCCGTCTTCATTCGGACCAGGGAAGGAGCTTCGAGGGTTCTTTGATCCAGCAACTTTGTTCTTTGTACGGTGTTGCTAAATCCCGTACTACCCCCTACCATCCTGCGGGTAACGGGCAATGCGAACGGTTCAATAGAACCCTCCATAACCTCCTTCGCACCTTACCAGCATCTCGCAAACATGATTGGGCTTCCTGTTTGCCTCAGGTGCTGTTCTGTTACAACACTACGCCTCATCAGGGCACTGGTGAAACACCGTTGAATCTGATGTTTGGACAGGAACCTCAGCTTCCTATAGACTTTCTCCTGGGTCGAGTCCAGGAGCCGGTACTTGGCGGGGTACAGGACTGGGTGGTCGAACATCAAGCCAGGCTCAGAATTGCTTTCGAGGGTGCTCGTGAACGGTTGTTGGCTGCTGCTGGCCGCCGGAAAGAGCGGCATGACCAGCGAGTCCGAGAGGCACATCTCCCAGTTGGCCAAATGGTTTATCTGAGGAACCATGGGGTTAGAGGGCGGCATAAAATCCAGGATCTCTGGAGCTCTGTGGTCCACCAGGTCGTGAAGGCGCCATCTGGTGAAGGAACAGTCTATACGGTGGCCCCAGTGAATGACCTACAACGAGTCCGAAATGTCCACCGGGACATGTTGAAGGCTGTGGTTCGTCCTGAGGCCACCGCTTCTCCACCCAGGCCTCCACCTCCACCCGTGTCGACTGTCTTAACAGATCACTCCTCTGCCGATAGCGACCTTTGGCTGTTGGTTTCGGCGACTCACTCTTCACTACCCGCAGTAGCTCCAGGTGCTTCTTGTACCTCTGTTGCAACCCCTTTGCAGGACAGGCCTGTTCAGGAAGCGCCTCACCCTGCAGGTTGCCTCCTCCCAGGTCTTTCAGTGTCCCCAACCGATCAGCCCAGTACTAATCATCAGGCTGTGCGTCGAACTGTTCGCCCTACGGCTGGCACAACTCAAATGTCCACCATCTTCCTCGGTCTACAGGCCCTCAGGACAACGTAGCGAGTCCACTTCGGTCCCCCGTGTCTAATTCCCAATCTGCCGTTTTCAGGCCTTGGTGCTAGTATTAGCCTTCTCATATTCACCGTTGGGTCGACGATGCAAAAGTGGGGGGTAGATGTGACCGGACGTCACGTCTCCTCCCTCTGTGACGCTGCTTGGCACCATGCCAGTGCACCTGCTATTTTGCGCACCTGCTATTTAAGTGGAGACAAATCTGCTCCCTCCCCCTCCGCTTCTCCTTTGTGGCTGCGAGGATTGTTTGGCGTGGCAGCTCGCGCATCACACTACCAGACAGGTAAAACATCTTGCATTCTGTCATTTATTCATGGGAACGAGCGACACCCGGCTTGACACTACTCGGTCTTAGCGCAGCTGACGCCCGGTGCGTTTGAGGAGGATTGGCTCCTCCGGAGGTTCCCGGTCTTGCAGTGTTGCAACTATTGGTGAGTTGCCGTTGTCTGCCGTATTCTCACCTTCAGCTTGGTTCCTCTGGTTTACTGACTGTTGTTCATGTCACAGTGGGATTTGGCCGTGGGATTGTTGGGTCTCTCTCTCCCTTCCCTGTGGGCTCTGTGGCTGCAGTAAATAAACTTAAGTAGGCTATTCACCAGTCATTTTAAACCTCTTTCCAGGGGTGCCATAAACATTCTCCCTTCCTGGTGGGCTCTGTGGCAGCGCCTAGCTGTAAAAGTTGGGACGCCGTAACCACTCCCCACCTCTGGTCATCATTCCCCCCCCCTTCCTGCTGTTTTGGCTCGGCGAGCTCTCGCACCGAGCTGTGGCGTCATATAATTGATAGTAGGGCTGTGCATCTTCACTGGTCTCACGATTCGATTATGATTATCCTGTCTTCGATTCAATTCGATATCCCGATGCATCACGATTCATACTAATGCGCTGCATCCTCAATTTTCTATATTACTGCACATGGCTTATTTTTCATCAATGCATACATGTAGTAAATACATATGAACTATTTTTATTATTTAGAAAGTGCTTCAGAAATCAATAACATAAATGTCTTGACATTCATTTATAAACCTAAATGAATTGTATAGGTCTAGCCTCCCTATATCTGTGTGAAATTGTTCCATCCTCAAAAACAAAAAAATAATGCTTCTGCAGTCTAGCTGCAGCTTCTAGCAACGGTCTTCTGTTAAAAAAAGGACACTGAATGTCCTGAATGTGGCATCACACACAGGACTTGAGTCTGAACACAGCAGACAACAGGAGTATTTACAATAGCATATAAAAACAAAAATACTGCATGTGGGTGCACACTTACATTCTCTGTCTTACTGTTGCATAAATCCCATGAATGTATGAGATTAAATTAGCTTCATTATATCTCAGTGATTAAGTGAATAATAAAGTTTCTGTCGGGTCACTATCAGCCTGTCACTCATTATTTTCAGGGAGGGGGCGGGGTTTGGAGGAACGGAGGAGACGGTGATCGCGGGAGCTTTTTTCCTCCTGCCTTCACAAACGTATATCGTCTGAAAATTGCTAGAGGACATTCATACTTTGCAATCCAAGACTTAATTAAATCCACCAAAAACCTGACATGATTGTAATGCGATTATTTTTGAAAAACATAAATCCCTGTGCCACAGCGACACGGAGTGATTCAGAGCGGGTCCTTCTGCTGTTGGATCTGGACTGGTGGTGTTGGGTTAGTGGATAAAGCAGACTGCTCCGTGTTTGGCGTCGCTGTGCCGCTGTCACGTCTGTTCCCTGCGTCACCGACCGATTTGATATTAAAGTGACAGAGAAAAAAACGTTATAGTAAAGCCGCGGCCAGAAAATCAGGAAGCAACGTTACTAACCGATTATCTTCCGTCACTGCATCGAGACCGAATCGTCCGCATCGCAATGCATCGTAGAAACGATTATTTTCAACACCCCTAATTGACAGGCCCTGACTACTCCGTGTTGGACTGTCACCAGGGCCGTTTTGAGGTCGCGGAATTGCAAGGACACTTATTGTTTAGTTGATTTCTTTTGATTAGCTGTTTTGTGCATCTCACGTTTTGAGTACATTCATAGTATTTTGTTATTGTGTGATTTTGTTTATTTTCTTTTGTTAACGTTTGGTTTAATTAGTTTACTCAAGTCTTTGTTGTTTAAGGTTATCGTGATTTGGTTTATTTTAGTTGTTTTCCTTTTGTTTATTCATCTCCAACCAAGTTTTATAATCTTACTGATTTTTAACTGTTTCTCTTGTGCCGGACAGGTGCTGTGGGCTCGAGGCGGCAAACCCAATCCCTGGTGGTGGTGTTCTTCACGTGTCCGTTTTGTTTGGTGTGCAGTGTCACGGGTGATTTTGATTTTACCCCTTCCTCCCTGTTTTGTTAATTGCCGCCGTGGTAAG